TTACTGTTAAATGGGCCAGGCTATACCTCTATTTTTTCCCATAATTTAAGGTGGGCACGCATGCTTCAGGACATACTTACCGGTAATCATCAGCTTACAACCACAGTTGGGACCTGGATTTCCATGGCTAAGAGATGTGGTCATTAAATAAGTCCCTTCCGATTTTATTACCTTTTTTGCATGGTTTCCCCTATTGACCTTGCTTGTCAGAAGCTCCCTGGGAAGGTCATAAAAGGTGATCACATGACCCTGGGATGCTGCAACCACTGTAAATATATGCTAGGTTGCCAAGAATTTGGATTTTGATCATGTGACTGTGGGAATGTTGTAAGTGTAAGGACCACTTTTGAGTCACTTTTTTTCCATTGTATCTTCAAACTTCAATTGTTAAACAAATAATCAGAAATCGGGAACTACCTAGGCATACATATGCTGACTCTACAAAACCGCTTAGAGAGGGCTGTAAAGTACTCTGAAGCAGTATATAAGTCTAAGTGATATTGCTATTGCTATCTATCTACCTACCTACCTACCTATAAAGGTAAAGGTTGCCCTCGCACATATGTGCTAGTCGTTCCGACTCTAGGGGGCGGTGCTCAACTCAGTTTCAAAGCCAAAGAGTCAGCGCTATCCGAAGATGTCTCCGTGGTCATGTGGCCGGCATGATCAAACACCAAAGGCGCACGAAACGCTGTTACCTTCCCACCAAAAGTGGTTCCTATTTTTCTACTTGCATTTTTTACATGCTTTCGAACAGGTTGGCAGAAGCTGGGACAAGTAACGGGAGCTCACCCCGTTACACGACACTAGGGATTTGAACTGCTGAACTGCCGACCTTTTGATCGACAAGCTCAGCGTCTTAGCCACTGAGCCACCGTGTCCCTCTAACATTCATACATCACCTCTATCTATAAAGGAGAAAAGGGAGTAAAGAGTGATAATAAGAATAGTGCTCCTTTCCTGCTTGATGTACCTTGATGGATATCTGAATCACTTCTGGATGGAAATCGTCCCAGAGGCTCTCCTGGGAATCGGTTTAGGAACTGGCCTGAGTACTTACTGCTGCCTCAAGCTAATTCTGAAACAACTTGGCCTCTTTTATCATGTGTTTGAATTAGTTCAAGATGCTGGATTTTACATTAAAAACATACAATAATTTGACCTTCCAAATGACTCCAGCTTCCATATCAACCCCCCATTCTTTAAATCAGAGTTCCCTAATATTTTCAGCTTTGCGGACCAGCAGAGGGGGGGAGGGGATGGTTCCACGAGTAGCGGGCAAGCATGTGCATGCAGCTTGCCTGCTGCTCACGCAAGTGGGAATGCGCATGCTCGCCTACCACTTTCACGATCTAGTTCTGAAAGGCTCAATGCCCAGTAATGGGCCATGGCTCGGGTTGGGGACCCCTGCTTTAAATGACCCTTCCAAGGCCAGTTTTCTTTTCATGCATATATATTTTCTATCAGACAGACAACAGTTGTTTAGTAAGAAGGTTTTCTTAACAATGGGAATTTAGTTACAAATGTCTTTCCCATAACATTTTGCATAGGGGCTAATGTTACTCTAATTTACAGCATTTTAATTTACTCAAACACTTAGTAGTTGCTGTAATTTTAATAGAAAAATGGTAGTTGCTGCTGTGGTTTTATCATTTTGGTTGCCTTTGCTAGCCTTGTACTGCACCCTCAAACAGATGTTCTTGAATTCTCACTGCCAAGACCCTGGCCAGCATTTTCAAAAATATTGGAAGTTGAAATTTAGCAAATCCAAAGTGCTGTGAATTGCTCTCCAGATACCTAAGGTAATACAGTCCCTGGATCTTGATATGATGGAAAGGGTTAAACTGAATAAAGTTTTAAACTGAAATAGATACTTTCATTGAGCATTTATAAATTATGTTCTATTCTTGTTAGAAAATATTGTCTCCATATTAATTATTGTAAATCATGATTTATAAAATACAGCTTTATAATATGAATGCTCTGAATTAGTGACAAATCCTTGCAAAAGAAAACATCTCATATATATTTAGATCACTCTTGTCTATGTATAAATCTTTAAATTAAGAATCCTGGGTTGCAAGCTATTAGAGATTGGAAACATCTTTAGGTACCAGGTGCCATCACCTGATCCTGTGCATAGCATAGAAATCAAGATGCCCTATAAAAATAACACCAAGAATTTGGATGAAGATGATCACTACATGTATATGGGCATCTTTCAAACTGACAACATCAAGTGCACTAAAGTCAAGAAGAAGATTAGAAGTGAATATATCATAAGAATGAAAATCTTAAAATTCAAACTCAGTAGAGGAAGTACCATCAAGGCAATTAACACTTGGGCAATTCCAGTCATTAGACACATAGCTGCAATAGTGGACTGCACTCAAGCAGAACTTAAAACCATGGATAGGAAGCTAGGAAAATTGGCAGGGATATATCATGCCCTTCATCCACACACCAATGTTCATAGACTCTGTTAACCAAGGAAAATAGGTGAGATGTTATTATTATTTCCATAGAGCATCTTGATTTCTTCAGTTTTCACCATTTCCCCCCTGTTTTTGGTGAGCATGGCTTGTTTGCCAGTGCAAACTCCATAAAAGTATCTTGGCTATATATAAGGACAGTGTTGAGCAATGATTCTATTTGAAATGGTGTTTTTCCATACAACTTCAGATCATCCACATAAAGGAGGTGGGATAGTCTGGTAGATATTTTTGCTGTTTGATAGCCATGGCCTGAATTATTCAGCATTGTCAATAGAAGAATCAGTGCAATAACAAACAGTAGTGGTGATAGTGAGTTTCCCTGAAAGATAGAACATAGATTCCTGTCTCGATATTAACTTCTCCTAGTCTAAAAACCATTGACCAACAATTGTCTCTTCATAGTGTCATTAATCATGGCACAAAGCTTCTAACTTCTGTTATTTCTAGGTATGTGATTATCCAATCATGTGGCAGAGAGTCGAATGCCTTTTGTAGACAATCCATGCTACATTCAAATTGGTCTTCCTTTCACTTGCAGTTTTCCAAAATCATTTTGTCAATTAGGGGTTGATCTTTTGTTCCTCTGCTGTTTCGGCGGTTTCCTTTCTGCTCAGGTGGAAAGAGCTTGTTTTCAACTAGATGCTATTGGACTACGTCAGCTACCACATCAGTTAGCAATTTGAAAGTTGTTGGTAAGCAAGTAATTGGCTTGTAGTTGCCAGATGCTGCCTCTTTTGTTGGATCTTTCATTATCAGGTACTGTTTTGCCAGATGTTAACCAATCTTCAATTTCACCTTCTTGTTGTTAAACTGTTTGGCAATGAGTGGATGCAGCCTCTGTTCTGTTATTTCAGATTCTGGATGTTCTTTCTAGAACTGGTGCATTCTTTTCAGATATCCTCTTCTCATTGGGCTTGAAGGTTAGGGCTGTTATTGCAGTCTAATTTTAAGCCACACTTCAACTGAATGAAGCTACTGTATATTGTGGTTTTTCCTCCTATTGTCACATGGGGTGTCTGATTTAGTTTTCAGAGTTCCATGATACATGTATATTTATCTATTAATCTATCAATTTGGTCAAAATATATATGAAATAAAAATTGCTTAGATAGGTGAAGATTCTGAATTACGCAGAATTACCTCAATTATGCACATCAAATTGTTGGTTCTGTGGCCAGAGTGCCTAGAATTATTTAGGAACATGAATAAATATACTATATTCAGGATGTACATTACATTAAGTACATGACGTTTCAAAAGGCTAATGATTGATTCATTACCAACAGCTTCCAAGAAAACTCCTTTCCTGGATTGGATAACTATCTAAAATTTAGGAAATACAATGAATGCATGGTTATTTTTGACAATGTATAAAAATAAGCAAGCTGGATCCAAATCAGTGGTGGGATTCAGCCAGCTCGCACCACTTTGGGAGAACCAGTTGTTAACTTTCTGAGCAGTTTGGCAAACTGGTTGTTGGAAGAAATCATTAGGGCAGAGAACCGGTTGTTAAATTACTTGAATCCCACCACTGATCCAAATGAAGCACTATTGCAACTAATATTGGTTAATATTCATATAGGATCTGGAGTTCAAATACCTGATGTATTATGAATGAAGGTGAATATATGTGTCCCAGGATAATGCTACAGGATCCAATCTGGGCTCGTCAGAGGTTTTCAAAATAAAATTGAAAAAAAAATGAAAAAGCTGAGAGGTCTAAACCAAGAATGTACTCTGAGCTTGCTATATGAAGGCTTGGACCAGCCTTACAGTGTATCAACAGCTGGTCAACCTTGGCTATTCTTAGACAACAAAACATAACTAAACATAGGACGTATAGATAAGCGACTACTGCAATTTTACTCTTATTTCACAGAATCTTACATACTCTTTGTCCCATGAAAGATTCTTTTTGAAGCTCTTTGCCATCAGGTTAAAACTATACTATCTGAACAATTAGATGACATTCCCAAAGGATACATCAGGTTGCAGAATACAATCTGGGCTGGTCACCAGGACCAAAGGTGAGCTTCTGAGCTTTTGGACTCGTGCTGGAGCCCATCTTTAGGGAGCTTCTCTAGCAGAGAGAAGTTCCCTGAAGAGGGACTAGCAGTGAGAAGTTATCTGAAGATGGGCTCCAGCACGTAGTAGTAGCAGTAGCCACTTATCCATACATCCTATGTTTAGTTATGTTTTGTTGTCTAAGAATAGCCAAGGTTGACTGGCTGTTGACACACTGTAAGGCTCATCCAGGCCTTCACATAGCAAGCTCAGAGTACATTCTTGGTTTAGACACTCCCAGCTTTTTCCAATTTTTTTCAATTTTTATTTTTCTAGTTTATTCTACTTCTCCTGGTTGTTATGAAAATATATATAAATGTCTCTGTATTTTGTGCAGTAATAGTAGTAGGTAATTCTCAAATGAGCCACTGGGTTTGTTTTAGGGTACATTTCCTTTTAATTCTAAAGCTAATTCTGTGTTCCTTTGTTCTTTCCTTCTAGCTCTGTCAAAGATGCACTGGACACCAGAGCATGCTCAGCCCCTGAATCAGTGGCCAGAGCAGCACCTCGATGTCTCCTCTACCACTTCCTCACCTGCCCACAAATCTGATCTCTACCATAGCAGTCGGCAGCGTTTCAACTATGCCTGGGCCAATGATGACATCTCTGCTCTGACTGCTTCCAACCTGCTGAAGAGGTATGCGGAGAAGTACTCAGGAGTCCTCGACTCCCCTTATGACCGGCCATCAGCACTCAACACCTATGGGGATGGTGCCTTTGGAACCCTCAATGGACAGAAGGGGGAGGTGGAGCCTTGGTCAATGGCTCACAGCGCTGAAGGAGTTTACCCTCTGACCCCAATGCATGATGGACTGTCCAGCTCTAAGGGGATTGTTCCTCCTCCTGTCACACCGGGTAACGGTCTTGGTACCTCCCCTGTGGTTTCCACTAACCTGTCTGACGCCATTTATCCCAGTAACACTTGTGGGGGACCCACCACATCTGGCAGCCTTGGGGCATCTCAGGAGTATCCGTCGGGCTACAGTGGAGCCTACCTGCCCTCAGGTTATTGCAGCCAGCCCACTTCGGCACTTCCCCCTCCACACCCATCTACCCACCTGCATAGCTCTGGCCTCTTGCAGCCCAGCCATCCTTCCACCACCCTTGTCCCTGGATATACTTCTTCAGGACCCATGTACAATTACGCTTCAGGGAGCTACCCAGCCCAGCCCAGTTATGGTGCCATCCACCCTCCCCATCCTTCAGCTTCATATTTACCTTCAGGCATTGCTGCCCCCACACCCATTCCCCCTTCCTCTCGCCCTCCTGTGGTCCCTGGTTACAGTTATCAGAGTCCTCTCTCTGTAGCACCCTTGAGTGGCGAATCAGGGAGCTCTTTGAAAAGAAAAGCCTTTGATATCGCTGGCGGGGAGGATGATGGCGAAGGCAGGTATCGCAAATACAGCTATGAGCAACCAAAGTCCCCATATCAGATGTCCGACAATGGTGAATGTAGAGGGAATGGATTCAACCGGAGCTCAGAGGTGCCTTTCAAAGGTGGGAAAAGGCCAAGTGGAGCAGGAGTGGTGGCAACCACAGTGGCTTCTGAGGAGCCCATTGGGAAGTTCAACAACCAGGCTATGAAAGGATTGGTCTCTCCAGCTTACAGTGTTAGTGAAGCCCCACTGAGGGCTAGTGAGAGCTTTGAGAAATTCACTCCTCCGGCTGTGAATGGGGAGCATGAGGGAGACTCCTTTGCTCTAAGGATGCAGCCCAAAACAACAGCATTCAGTGGTGACAACAGCAACCAGCCAGTAGAAGAACAGCTGAAAACCATGGACCCTTTCATTCTGGAATTGGTGAACAACAAAGTAATTGACTGTGGCCCTCCGGTCCAGTGGACGGACATTGCAGGACAAGTCTCTGTCAAAGCTGCCATTGAAGAAGAGCTCGTGTGGCCCATCCTGAGGCCTGGTGCATATACTGGTGCAAACCAACCACCCAGAACCATCCTGCTCTTTGGGCCTCGTGGTGTAGGGAAGACCCTGCTGAGCAGGTGCATTTCTACCCAGCTGGGATCTACCCTGTTAAAGCTCAGTGGGACAGCCTTGGTCTCCAAGTGGAAAGCTGAGGCAGAGAAAATCCTACAGACCACTTTCTTCATATCCAACTGTCGGCAGCCTGCTGTCATTCTCCTCACCGATGTGGAATCTGTCTTAGAAGATGCTGCCATTTTGAAGTCCCAGTTGCTCACCTACCTGGACAAGCTTGCTACCTCCGCTGAGCAGAATGTGGTTGTCATAGCAACCACCACCAGGCCTGGTAATCTGGATGAAGCCACCCAAAGAAGGTTTGCCAAACGTTTTTACATCTCCCCACCAGACAGCATTGCGAGGCGGCAGATTCTGCACCATGCTTTAGCTCAGCAAAACTACTGTCTCAGCGAGAGGGAGATGGCCTCCATTGTCCAACTTACTGAAAGCTACTCAGGCAGTGAGCTCCTCCAGCTCTGTCAGCAGGCAGGGACCAACAAACTGCATAGCCTGCCAGGCCAACTTCAACCCACCTCCTACAAGGATTTTGAAAGTGTTTTCTGCAAGATCCACCCTGCTGTCTCTCAGAAGGAGCTGGACCTGTATGTGGAATGGGATAAAATGTATGGGTCTCACAATTAGCGGGGAAGCTCCTGTTCCTCTTTCCAAATAATCTTTAATCTGTTTGAGAGGAAGCCACTGGAAGCATTGAATTCTCAGTTTGCTCTTTTAAGGTTTTGGGGCGCTGCGGGTTCCAGTTTCTGAAAGTCTCATACCTCCTTCCGTATGAAAATGGGGGAAAGGGTGAGACATAGTTTTCATCTCATTTAAAAAAAAAAAAAAGCCACACCAATTGGATGCAAATCCTCCCCTATACTGACTGACATGCAGCTTGTGTTTTTTTTTTTTTTAATGAATATGTCTGAAAGTTTGTGTGGTGGTTGTCAGGTCTCTATGTTAATGAAAAGTAGTTGCTCAATGAACTCAGGATAATCTATTTATTACTGATCTGTTTTTCTAATCAACCCTTTCCAGCCAGCATTGTAAAATATTCTGCCAGGTATTATCCCTTTCCCAGCTCCTTTTTAATGCTGCACACTTCAAACACTTCTGTCTGACTCTTCACATTTCTATTGCAGCTTCTCTCCATCCTTTTACCCTGGAGAAACCCTTGAAATAATGTTCAGGTCTCAGGGAAGCCCTGCATAAAAAATAGCAAAAAATTTTTTTACAAATACCTCACAGTTCAATTCCCTTCTAACCTACACCATCCACATTTTACAATATTTACAACAACAGCAAAATGGCAGGCTGGCAGCTACATTGTGGTGTATAAATATTCCCACCACTGTCAGTGCTAGCATTTGCCTGGCTCACAAAGTTCCCAAAAAACAATATTTGATTTTTTTTCAAATGATGTCTGGCAGAATCCATTGGTTCTGTCAAACTCTGATTAGGGAAGGCTGTCCTATAGGTAACAACCTATGGATCATTCACTTAATATTTCTCAACAGACTCATTTTCAGAGGCAGATCTTACCATAAAGCAGATGGCATCAGTACGTTTTGAGAGAAGGGGGTTGGGGTTTTTTTTAAATGTAGATTATTGAATAAGCTAGGCTCTTTTTTATTTTTCTAATGTATGTAGTAGTGGTTTTTTCCCTTTTTTTTTAACTACTCAGGAAAAATAATTTACCTCAAAAAATAAAGAATGTTTGCATTTTTTTTAACTCAAGGAAAATAAAAATGATTTGGAGGGATTACAAATGTGCTTTATAAGATGCACAGGAGGGGAAAAAAAGCAAGAATAAACTTGAAGTTGTTACAAAGATGAAAGTTGAATGTATTTCAGGGGCGTTTCACAATATATAATGCCATAACTTTCTTCTTTTTGTTTAAAGAAAGCATTTTTGCCATAGCTATTAGGTGAAGTAATGTGTCTTCAAAGAATAAGAAGTATTAGTACTGAAGTTTCAAAGCCATGGCTAGTACCACTTTTTAAAGGAATCTTTCTATTACATTTCCAAATTCCAAATGGCCAAGTCGTGTTTCCTTTTCCCATGCTTTTTATAGGACCTCCTATAGTAAGATTTCTGTAATCAAAGAAAATGGCCATTTGAGCTTCCCAAAGTATTTTGAGGCGAAACAAAACAAAACATGGAGCTGTGGTCCCTGTCAAGGTCCCAAAGGCCATGGCATCTTCCCCAACTTGGTTGCCCTCAAATTCCTGGTTGAACCTTCCAGAATTCTCCAGCCAACATGGCCACTTCTGAGAATTCTGAGAAACCTGGCCTGTAGGATTCAATGAGTGTCTGCATGCAGAGAAGTTAGTAGATAAATAAATGGTACCTTTTTAGGCTCTTCATTCAAAGTTTGAGAAGCCTCTACTAAATCTAATCCTCTGATCCATCCCAGAGCAGGGGAGAGATATATCAGCCATGGAGCTGGAACATTTATTTCCAACCATCCCTGCACAATTTGTGTTTTTTTTTTCTTCCTCTTGCATTTTTGTCCCCTGACCTGGGAATCACAATTCAAGAGGTAAATCTATGTAGATTTGTGCTCTGTACTGTTCCATTTATAGGTGCGTGTGTAGGTAAAGGGAGGGCATGTCTTATAAATGTTTGTGTAAGTGAATGATGTTTCCTTGCATTTATAAAAATACGGTTGAAAATGGAGTCATGTGCACTTAGGAGAGACTTGTACCCTCTCAAGCAGGAGATACACGGCAGGAGACTCTCATGTGCTTACTTTGCATTGTATTTTTGTTGTTGCAATATGTTGCCATTCTGAACAATTCTAATAGAGAGGTGTGTTTCTCAACTTCAGCAGCTTTAAGATGTGTAAACTTCAACTTCCAGAATTCCCCAACAAGCATGCAACTGAAGGTGCAGAGGTTGAGAAGCACTGAGATAGAACTTCTTGTTGAATGTATACAACCAGACTGAGTATAATATGAGACCTCAATCAATACACATGCAGAGTTAAGTCATCTTTTGTTTCCTATCTCTCCTCAAAATCCTTCAAACTCCAAGGTTAATTTTGGAGAAGAAACCGACAATTCTTGCATCTAAATATTCCCATTTTGTAAAGGTTTACAAAAACACTTCTTGGGAAATGGACAGAAATTGATCAGGATTTCCATGGCAGCCAGATCCTTTCTATGATCCCTAGAATTCTGCCTTCTCCTCAAGACTGCCTTGCCAAAATGTGATGGCAAACCAGCAATTTATTTTCCTTTCTCACAAATAGAGAGTAAAATACAGTAGAGTTGTTAAGTTCCAGAGATACCACACCTGTTTAACCAGGACTGAAGTTCTCCAAAAGGAGGAGGCTTCACTCTCATGTGAGATACACTTCTTTTGCCAAAGTACTGGCTTATAAACCGCAATGCCTTAGAACAGTACCAAACTGGGCCTGGTGGCTCAGCAGACTAAAAGCATTGTGATTAACATTCAGCTGTCTGCAATTACTGTAAGTTCGACTCTCACCAGGCTCAAGGTTGACTCAGCCTTCCATCCTTTCTAAGGTAGGTTAAATGAGGACCCAGATTGTGGGGGCAATAAGCTGACTTTGTATAAATATACAAAAGGATGAAGGCTATTGCTTAACGCATTGTAAGCCGCCCTGAGTCTCCGGAGAAGGGCGGCATATAAATCAAATTAAAAAACAACAACAAAACATTATGGCTTAATGCAAATTCTGGTACCAGCAGGTGTCTTGTTTGGGATACATCAATATCTACTCTATTTCAAATATAGCTAAACCAACCCAAATCCATGTGGACAGAACCAGAGAAATGTATTTGGATAAGAAACGTTAGGGAGATGAGTGACATCTTTAAATATGATCTTTTGAGATACTTCCATATTCTACAGTTACAAGAATATCTCAGTAATAAGGTCAATGTAATTTGCATGAAAAACATAGCAATAAAGTAGGAGACAGAATAAGCACTCACATGTGCATTTAGCAATCAGTGACAGGCCCCTTTGCAATATCATATTGGTGACTTCACACCTCTTCATTATTCCTGCAAATTAATTAGCCAAAGTAAGTAATAATCCCATATGGTTTAGAATGGCCTCTTTATGACTCGTGGACTTCAACTTCCAGAATTCCTAAGCCAGCCATGCTGGCTCAGGAATTCTAGGAGTTGAAGTCCACAGGTCATAAAAGGGCCATAATTCCCCACCCTTTTAGTTTAGAAGAAGCCAGAATTTCCGCTTAACATCTCTAAAGACCATCTCTTCTTTAATCAAGAGATGGACTCCTTTGCAAGTCTAGTCATCAGATTAGGAACTTAAATTATATAAGGGATCTAGATTTTATTAGCTGCTTAAGGATTATAGGTGAGATGATGCAGAGACAAAACCAAAGCAAAGATTAACTACATGATTCCATTTAGGATTTTTTTCCCCTGTACATTTTGAAATGAAAACGAACATTGCTGAATTAAAAAGCTGGCTACTTAGTTGTGGCTCAAGCAGTCAATTGCCATTTACGTTTCTGCTAAACCAAAGCACTTAATATCAGAAAAACAGAGCTGTTCCAGAAAACTTCCCAATTCAGGTGTGGATTTAATGGGTGCCTTTGGATAAGTACAATCTCCTAGCCTTATTTTTCCCATTTAGTAATGGGAAAAATCTGTCTCTCACAGACTTAAAGAGGATTTCATTAGGCACTTTGCATACAACAAGTACTATATTTAAAAAAGACCAACCTAAATACCTCTTCACCCATTGATCACTGAATGGAACCATTCAATAAAAGTCCTCTCTAAATGTTGATTTAAGAGCTGATGCTCGCCCTTCCATCTAGGTCAGTCCTTGATGCTATATAACTGGACAGTGTAATCATCTGCTTGGAAAATATTGCATTTAGAAGGATTTGCATAACAGAAAAGCAAGGGTTAAACTTCCAGTCTTCCCATTGGTTTTTTTTTTTCTTTCCAACTTTTAGCCTCTTGGCTCCTTCCCGTGAAAACCAAAAATGTGGAAAAGAAAGAGGATCACAAAAGTGATCCTTGATCATTTTATCAGGTGAAGATCTTTCATTAGGTCTATGTGTATTAATAGTCTCTCGTACAGTTACTTAGCATGCGTAGCTGTAAAACCCACAAAAAGAGCTTGTATGATAAATTTAGGACAATCAAGCCCATGGTACACATTCTGGTACAGCTATGGGTCTTGTTGATTCATAGCCATCTTTTGCCCTATCTTCTCTTAATGCCTAATAATAAATGAAAGAAATCAATTGCCATCAATGTTAAAACCTGCTATAGGTTAAATAGTAATGGGAGATGGTTGATTCTCTCAGCAAGAAAATTCCATTTGATCAGTTAGCACTTTATTTTGGAATTAATGGAACATTATTGTTTATTTTTTTCTTATATTTATATTTTCCTGCCATTATTATTTCTTTGTGAAAACCTATCTCTCTTTTGCATACGCTGTCTCTTTTTTATTCATTATAAGGTCTGTTAATTTTCCCTTTCTGATTCACATGCTCCTATTTTTTATTGTATTCTCTCAAGATCACTAGCAATTTGTAAGTCGTTGTGAGCCTAGTGATCGATAAACATTTGTAGGAAATGTTCTGATTCTTTTTCTGAGGAAGCAACCTGAGATGTTGTATTTCCCAAAATTAGAGGTCAGCTGCACATTCACTTGGCAGTCATTTTTCCTGAACATTTTTTAAAAGAAGGATGGGAAGAACTAAGAAGCTATTCTTCCTTCTGTCTGCTCCAGCAGACAGAACTACTTTCACAAGCTGAATCATATAAGTGGAATGGGGGGAAAAAACTGCCAGGAAACTAAAGGAAATAGCTGGAATGGAAGGTTTCTAGGGAATAATAAACTGGAAGAAGAGTTAAGTACTTCTGTTCTGTAGTTTTCTGCTACAAGTAATCCTCAACTTACAATCATTCATTTAGTGAATATTTGAAATTACAGTCGCACTTACAACCACATGGTCATGTGATCAGAATTTGGGCACTTGGCAGCCGGCATGGTTTACAATGGTTGCAGGATCCTAGGGCCATGCGAGCACCATTTGCGACCTTCCTACCCAGCTTCCAACAAGCAAATCAATGCAGGAAGCCTGGTTTGCTTTATGACTGCATGACTCACTTAACAACTGCAGCAATTTGCTTAACAACATGGTTAAAAAAAGCTAATAAAATCTGGCGCAACTCACTTAACTGCCTTGCTTAGCCATGGAAATTCTGGTCCCAGATTCTGGTCATAAGTTGAGGACTACCTGAACATCCCCCGGAGAGTAGGTATTTGTCTTGTTTCTTATTCTATTGAAAGATCACTGATTTCTGAAGGACTGTGAAGGACATTGTCATGTTTTGGTTGAAGGGTTGTTTTTATTATTTGCTTTCCATAAGATTGTATATTGCTGTATTCCTCCTTCAGAGGAATGGAGAGAGATTTCATCCTAGACCACTCCACGTTGATCATGGTCAAATGATCTCCTCCCCATGTGGAACATCTCAATTTCTCCATTCTTCTCTGGCTGTATTCTTTGGTTTTTCTGTCCACCTTTAGCCCTCGTTATGCAAGATTGTGGCTTTTCTCTGTTCCTGGTTATCTTTGCTTCCCCTGTCTGGAATGATAATTTGTAGGTGTGAGGTCAGCTATATTTTTTAAAAGTTTAATAGGAGCTGAAGGGTAAGGGGAAAAATAGAATCTTTAGAATAACAGAGTTGGAAGGGATCTTGGAGGTCTTCTAGTCCAACCCCCTGCTTAGGCAGGAAACCCTACACCATTTCAGACAAATGGTTATCCAACATCTTCTTAAAAACATCCAGTGTTGGAGCATTCACAATTTCTGGAGGCAAGTTGTTCCACTGATTAATTGTTCTAACTCTCAGGGAATTTCTCCTTAGTTCTAAGTTGCTTCTCTCCTTGATTAGTTTCCACCCATTGCTTCTTGTCCTGCCCTCAGGTGCTTTGGAGAATAGCTTGACTCCCTCTTCTTTGTGGCAGCCCCTGAGATATTGCAACACTGCTATCATGTCTCCCCTAGTCCTTCTCTTCATTAAACTAGACATACCCAGTTCCTGCAACCGTTCTTCATATGTTTTAGCCTCCAGTCACCTAATCATCTTTGTTGCTCTTCTCTGCCCTCTTTCTAGAGTCTAGTCAAGATCTCAGCACTGGAAAGCACAGGTTGATTCCCCCACCTTGTATTTCATTTGCCTAATGATGAACTTTCCTGTCTTTTGGTTAGAGTGGGAATAAGCAACAATAAAAAGTATCCTCTGAGATCAGAAATTAAACTAGCACTTTCTTAAGGCTTGAATGGAAGCTTCCAACAAAGCAATATTCATATATGTATCTCATACTTGTATTCCCCAAGACATAAATAAACATCAGGAAAGAATCATATACATACAAGATCAGAGCTTGTTTGGAGATGAAGGTCCTCCCAATGTAACACTTTCCAAGGCTTGCAGCGTTACCATGGAATAGTTTGATGGCACAATACAATTTTTTGTATCAGTTATATAATGAACAATTGCCAATGCATTCTATATTAAAAAATTCAGCAAGTTTTCTCACTTAGCTAAAGTTTGCTGCAGTGTTATCTTTTCTCTTCTACAACACCAAATATAGTACATAGTACGGTACATTTTTCTGAAAATGATAACCTTTTGTAATAAAAGAAAATTCTTAACTCTTCAAGGTTGTGTGTTTGGAGATGAAACAGGAAATACCTTTCCTGATCTCATCAATAAAGTAGAATTAACCTGCTTTTATTTTTGTGGATGCGTAGTGGGTTCCCTCCCTTTTCTTTTTCTCTCTTCACACTAGATAAATCTGTTTCAAAATAAATTGTGGCATATGCATTTAGGAAACCAGGCAACTATACATTTGAGCATTGAATTCAGATTTCTTTGCACGGAATACAGATTGTGTAAATAATGTTTGGCTCCACTATAGGATGTTCTCTATTAGACATGCAACGGAATTTCTGCTAGAAATATAGTGTGTGACAGTGATTCTGTTCAGGCTCAAGGACTACTTAGGCACCAAAGATTTAATAACCTCCTTGACCTGTGACTGTTCAGTGTGAGGAGAGTCATTCACAGGCCTTTTCCTCTTGAAAACGTTTTGTGGTGGTAAATTGTACAGTATTACAATAAGATGCACTGGGGAGACTTTTCACCTGGTGCATTGTACATTGTAGCCTCATAAGAATGTTGTATTATTCTTTTTGCCAATAAATTAACTCTAAGGTGAGAATCATATATGATGAGGTTTGTAGGAGCTGCATCTAGTCTGGTCCTAGCTATTGGGCTGGGGTGATGTGTGAATGTGTATACTTTGGGGGCATGGATCAAGGAAGACGGAAGGAGGCTGGCTTATAATTGGCAAGTATTAGCTAGGTTTCCAGTTTATTTTCCTTTGAAACAAAGCAAAATTTCTTTGGTTTTCTTTAAGAAGCTTGGGAAAACAGGCAAAGTATGAAATTAGATTACCTGGGAAGTAAAGCTGATCTAGTCTGCTTCATTAGCATGAGCGAGGGGGAAAAAGATAATGTTTATTTTTTGCTGTTTCTGAGGTGAAGCAGGAAACTCTTAATGGTAGAGGTTTTTTGGAAGGACATCTTTTGAGATTCTGAGATTAGGAAATTAATTTGTAGGAATTAGCCGAAAAGTATTTGGAGTGGCTGGTATTTGAAGTTCAGGACTCACTTCGATGGGTATCTAGCTTTGGATCTTGGAGATGTTACCTTTCTGTTAATCTCGCTAGTTTGCCTTCCAAGAAAGTAAGCACCGGGTTTCAAATGTAGAAATAAATCAGACGTCTAGTTTGGAATTCAGATCCCAGATTTGAGTTTATACACAAGTTCTAGTTCTAATCCAATTATTCATCTATATGTTTACTCAATCAGTGACAATATCTAGCTATACGTCTTCAGGAACTGTATACATACATCATCCTTTCCTAGTTGTTTCTTGTCAGCACATTGGCATATGGAGATATACTGCCTCTGAAGTTTAGTCTTCATTTAGCTGCTCCTATTGATACAGGAGGCTTCCATGCGCCAATTTAAAATCAGAACCAGTGAAATTGAGATAAAGTGTAGGGGTAGCAGTGATTCGTCATTGAAGAGGGTTTACTTTCATTTGGGGAGGAAGGAGAAACACATTTGCTGTGTAATATTATGCTGCTTCCATTTTTCCCCCCAATTCATGTGTTTAGTGATATTTGTTTCCCTTTTGCTTCAGTTACCATTAATAACATCGGTTCTATTTATATAAGCTTCTGATCTAGCTAGATGAAATTATTGAAAGCTGGAAGGTGCTTATGCAGGCTCCAGAGGCAACAGCTCTTTGCTCATCGCAGCTAAATACTTTCAATGATCCTACAGTGTGTGCGTTTGCACACATATGTACATGTACATGCATGCATATATGCGCCTGCAATTTACCACACATTGTAAATATAACAGCTCCCCTAGCTTTGGATATGGAACGTATCGTATCGGGGACCCAGTGAAAGTAATTCATGCTTGTTGATCAGTGTTTGGGTTTAAATGTTAGCCTCTAAAAACACTACTTTCAATCTTTTGAAGCAGTGTCTTTTTCTCATTTTCATCCCCTTTCCTTTCCTCCACCCACAGATAATATTTTATCAGGTTTATCAAACTACCTCTTTATAAGCAGCATTCATTTGGGAATCAATTCACAAACTGTGGTTCCGGTCATGAATTGTAACCCTGCTGTCAAAAGATGCCCCTTCGAATGTATACTTTTGTATATCTGGTAGAGAGCACAAAACATCAAAAAGGCACAATCCAACCCCTGTCCACTGTTAGATGAGGGTTTCTGATCTCTAACAGAACATTCCCTGAGCAAATTGAAGATTTATAAGTGTTTCATCCTCTTCCGTTGTCTTCTGGAGAATCAACCTTCTGCAAGAGGTGGTGGCAATGGGATCTGGGGTGGGAAAGCCCCTTTCTTCCCTCTAGCTTTTGAATGGAATTCTGCTTGGGAGATTCAGTTCAGCATATTAGCTTCATGCATGAGGACTCTATTAGTTAATTCTGCTAGATTATATGTCTTCAACCTGCTTTTTTTCTCTTTCAATAGACCACTGGCTTTCCAAATGCTTGGGAAGAACTCCGTAGACTATAAAAATTAACCAATCTTCTCTTAAAATCCAAGCTCAGGCTTTGCTGTACAGGTAGTCCTCGACTTACAACAGTTTGTTTAGTGAATGTTCAAAGTTACAACGGCACTGAAAAATATGACTTATGACCGTTTTTCATAGTTACGACCTTTGCCGCATCGCTGTGGTCACGTGACCAAAGTTCAGATGCTTGGCAACTGGTTCATATTTACGACGGTTGCAGTGTCCCAGGATCATATGATCCCCTTTTGTGACCGTCTGATCAGCAAAGTCAATGGGGAAGCCAGATTCACTTAACAACCAGTTTACTGACTTATCCACTGCAGCGATTCATTTAACAGCTATGGCAAGAAAAGTCATAAAGTCATGGGGCAAAACTCACTTAACAAATGTCTCACTCAGCAACAGAAATTCTGAGGTCAATTGCGGTCATAAGTTGAGGACCACCTGTAATGTAAAAGTTAAGCTTGTCCACAACTTTACATGTTCCTTGGCAAAAGCCAGCTACGGAGAAACCTGAGCTGTGTCCTTAGATTATTTTTTCCCCACTCATTCATGCAGGAGAGTAAGGAAGCCCAACAGAATTCTGTGTGAATGAACAATGTGGTTTTAGAACTTGGATTCTCCCAATCCAGAAGTGTCTCCCATTAATGCATCACTAGAAACAGAATCTGGTGGCCATAACCCATAAAAGCCATTGTAGGAGATAAGGGAAGCTGATAGTTAGTAAATCAGGATAAATGTCCAGACAGCCATCATCAACGTCGTCAGACTGCAACTTCTAATGGCCCTGGATATACGAAGTTCTACAGCGTTGGTAAAGATTGTTCAGTTTTTATAACAGGAATTGGTCATAAGCAGCAGGCACAGTCTCTTCATATCATTTTAGTGCCTTCCCTGCAAACTTATCTCCTAGATAACAATGCAATATACCTCAGGAAAATTGCTTATTTTGTCCTTTTTTTTTTTTTTTTTGTTTCCTCCAAAAAGTGGTACTGGAATTTTGAAGAGGTTTTTTGTTTTTTCTAAATCGTCTTTGACTTTGTACATCCTCTGTAACCATTTCTACCTCATTTTGCAACATATTGTACATGAAAGTATTTAATTCATGTCTTATTAATGTCTGAAAAGAAATGCGTTTGAACTGTAATGGTCTACCTCAGAAAATACTGTTATTTTAAAAAGAAAAATATTTCACAGTATTAAAGAGATTACAAGGAATGAAAAGGTGTTGATTATTTTTGTTTTAATGAAAATCATTCTGGAGCCATTATCTTCTCAGTAATAGAACTGAGAATTATAATAGGAGATTTTTGCCATCAGAAAACAGCTCATGTGGTTCCCATCCTCAAAAAAGGAAAAGAAATGGTCCAGCAATCTACAAACCAATCAGCCTGACATCAATACCTGGGAAAATCCTGGAAAAGATAAGTAACAGATCTGAGAATACCTAGAAGTAAACAAAGCTATTACTAGAGGTAAAAATGGGTTTGCCACAAACAGATCATGCCACACAGAACTTATTGTATTCTTTGACAAAGTGACTAAGTGAGTGGACCAGCAATGCTGTGGAAAAAGTATACTTGGACTTCAGTTAGGCATTTTACAAAGTAGACACAACATATTTCTTGGTAAGATAGAAAAATGTGGGATAGACAGCATCACCATCAGATTGATTTGTAACTGGCTGACAAGCCATACTCAACATCTTCAATGGAACTGCATCTACTTGGAGGAAAGTATGCAATGGGGTATCCCAAGGTTCTCTCTAAGGTGCAGTACTCAACATCTTTTTAAATGGTTTATGGGGGGATAGATGGGGAACTCACCAAATTTGCAGATGGCACCAAGCTACGGGGAATAGCCAACACTTTAAGAACATAGGCCTAAGATCAAGAAGGATCTTAACGGACTTGAACACTGGATCCTATCCAACAAAATGCAATTCAGTGGTGAGAAAAGTAAGGTTTTACATTTAGGCAAGAAAAACTAAATGCAGTTATAGAATAAGTGGCACTTAGTTCAACAGCAGTAACTGTGAAAGGGATCTAGGAGAGTCCTAGTGGACAATCACTTAAGTATGAGTCAGCAGTGTGTTGCAGCTGCCAAAAAAGCCAATGCAGTCTTTGGTTTCATCCACAGAGGAATAATATCAAGATCATATGAATTATTAGTACTTCTATATACTGCTTTGGTAAGATAACACTTGGAATATTGCATCCAGTTCTGGTCACCACAATACAAAAATGTTGAGACTCCTAAGAAAGAGTGCAGAGAAGAGCAACAAAGATGTCCAGGGGTCTGAAAGGTAAAACTTATAATGAACAGTTGCAGGAACTGGATATGTCTAGTCTATTGAAGACAAGGCCTAGGAGTGACATAATAGCAGTCTTCCAATATTTGAGAGGCTGTCATAAAGAAGAGAGGGGCAACCTATTCTCCAAAGCACTTGAAGGCAGGACAAGAAGTAATAGATGGAAACATATCAAAGAGAGATCCAACCTAAAACTAAGGTGACATTTCCCAACAGAACCATTAATGGTTTGTTTTCAGAAGCTGTGGGTGCTCCAACACTGGAGGTTTTTAAGAAGAGGTTGGACAGCCATTTGTCTGGAATGGTATAGGGTTTCCTGTTTGTGCAGGGAGTTGGACTAGACCTCTAAGGTCCCTTCCAGCTGTTATTCTGCTCTGTTATTCTCTTTTTTATAGCCTCTTCAGATGTATTCTGACCTGATGGGGTAAACAAGGCCTGCTGACTGTGAATAGTCAGAGAAAGAGAGGAGGTGGAATAATGCTGCTAATGCTGCCCCCTGATGGCATTTACTCTCATGGTGATTTAAACAAACCTTTCTGAATTCAAGACCTGGTCAGTGAGAGCAAGCATTCCTTGAAAGTGTTGTGCAGTGGGTCCTGATCATAACCTCACAATGAAAAAGTAGCTTTTGAACAAGATAAGGGAATTTGTAATTCCGAGCACCGGAATTGTCCTCCAGTGCTTCTTCCGAGTGAGCCTCTGCTGTGAGTGCTTCGTTTCTCCTGGTCCCTTGACAATAGTGGATTGGCATGAGGGCAAGAAAATGTCATTTAATTAGGTGCTATGGGAAAGACTTTGCTCTTTTGAAGGCAGCAGCCATGGATTTCCTTATAATAGTACATACTGCTTTCTCGGCTGAACCTGAAAGTACAATTCCCTTGATTTTTAAGATTGTTTGAACCCAGCTGTTATAACTTTTTAAACCATGAACAGCCAACCTACTCTTTGCACTGTAGTATAACAAGCCTGTTTAGCCAGATGCTAAAAGTTGTCTTGATTACACAGAATGAGATGGTGGAATTCTGAACCCAACACAATTGCAGCAGCAGGGAGAATAGGATAGCATTTCTGAGTCTCTGGCAGGCAGGCCACATTTTATATGAAGAGTATTTAAAACCACATCATCCCTACCTGCAATCTGAAGCAATGTAGCCTCAATTTGGCTGCTGCCTTAGACCTAGTGTAGTGAATAGCTGTTTCTGCTTTCTTCCCATGGCATCCATCTCTATGCCTTCCAGATATCTGGTCCTGCAGGAATACATTCTCTTGGACCACAAAATATATCCCCATTTCTGAATACTATGCATCTTCTAGCATGGGAATTAAGAGAATTCAAAAGATGGATCCCTTGAGAGCTTTTGACTGCTAAAAACCATTTGCCACCTTGGGGAGAGCTGCAAAATCTGGATCCAACCATGAATGACAAAACCTGTGATCAATTTGCCCCGCTATGTAACCAACCATGAGCAAAGACCGACTCACTCTGAAAGAACTGGGTTGGAATGAAGATTTCTATTCTCCCTACTGCATGTTATTCAGTTTTCCAACACACAAATCTGTTTTGCCTCCAAGACCTGTTTTAACAGCCTCTATCAACAGGCAACGATTACTGGTATGTACTTCTTGTACATCTTCAGTTTCATTCTTTTCTACACCCTGCAGTATTTGCCATCGTCTATCCCAGCTCTGAGATGTGTGTGTGTGTATTCCTGTGTATCTGACAAGCAAACTATAATTCACAATAGCCTACCGTCTTAATACGTGCATTTGCCTTCAAGATGCTACACCCAGTTATCCCTCTGAAAATTATCCACACTACTCGCAGAAGAACACGAGAAAATCCTATAGAGAGAGTTTGCTATAGCCATTTCCAAAGGTGGGTGAGTCAAGAAGAAGGATCTCCTTCTCTAACTGTAGCTGAGGACAAAACATGCTTTCTTGGTCCAGAAGCAGCTTCGGAAATAGTCTTTTCGCCCCTTTGGAATCAATGAATGTAAGGACGAGGAATGCCCTTTGTGGGCCTCCTGCTCAGTCACCAACTGTGGATGATTTGTTTTCATTCCACAGCTAGGCCGTAGCTTCTTTTTTTTTTCTTTTTTAAGGGGAGTTGGGGAGGGGCGGTGGGTTAGGGGTATTCCTAACAGGGAACAATGAAACCACTGTGCATTTCTAATGGGCCTGTGGGAGGTTTTAGGGGAGAAGGTGTTTCTTTCTAGTTAGTTATTCGCCAGAGTTTCCAGAAGCAGTTGTCCCAAGGCACAATTAGGGAAAGGAGGCAAATCTGAATTTTCAAAAACAAAGATGAAAATCCAAGTATTTTGGGAGCAGGCTGTGTGCTTGTGTACAGATGCAGGAACAGGGAGTCCCCCCTCTTTTTCCTAAGGAAGTTATTCCAATCTGTAGCAAGCACATAAAGAGGGCTAGCCTCTTAGGCACTGGCCTTTCTGAACTTGCAGCACTCGAGTGACTATAATGCCCATCATCCCAGAGAACGAATCCATGTTGCCTGATTGATGAGGGGAACTGTAGTCCAACCCATCTGGAAGGCTCCATTTTGAAGGCGGCCACTGTGCTCTTATACATTAAAGGGGACCGATCATACACAGAAGCAGAGAAGACCAGTGGGGTGGATGGAAACAGGAAGAATTCCTTTTCATCTTATCTCACATGATTATTTATTTATTTCAGAGTCATAAATCCCTTACTTTAAACAGGCCCTTGTCATCTAATACTATCAGGTGATATATCTCCCAGCATACATATCATGCAACACATCTGGATGCCATTACATTAGTGAAAGCTGTTTTAAACATTGACATTATTGTTAAAAGCACTGAACTGGACTTGTGTTGCCAGCACAAATCTCTTTGCTTAAAAAAAATGGATTGTGACAGTTTCTCCTATAACCTACTCTTTTATTAGGCAACAGAAAAGCAGTGGCTTTTAGCCAACCTTTAAATCCTGTTTAAAAATAGTAATAGGCAATTGATGGATTTCTAATTTAATAAATAGATCCATTGCATAAAAATAGCACTTAAACATGTCCATAGGAAATCCTAGGTACTTGCCAAAGGGCAAGCAACAACGGGACCAAATCAACTATAGTTTTATTGGAAAGATCAATGCATCCTTACAAACAGCAACTCCATAATTTAGCCCAGATGACTGTCAAAAATAAAACACATAATAAAGAAGTCTTATAGGATACTCAACACTTTATATTTTACTTTTAAATGATTCCATTTTCTGTGCCTTTCATAACAACTTGACATACAGAAGTTCATAAACTAACTAAATAATTTTTCTGCATTTGTTTCTTAAAAGGAGCCTGGATAGCTCAGCAGACTAATGCATTGTAATTTAACTCCAGCTGTCTGCAATTAGTAAGTTCGAATCTTGCCAGGCTCAAGGTTGACTCAGCCTTCCATCCTTTCTAAGGTAGGTAAATTGAGGACCCAGTTTGTGGGGGCAATAAGCTGACTTTAAAAATATACAAAAGTATGAAGGCTATTGCTTAACGCATTGTAAGCTGCCCTGAGTCTCTGGAGAAGGGCAGCATATAAATCTTTTTTTTTTAAAAAAATGGTCTGGTTGAACAATGCTAATTTTAAAAGCAGGGAGCTTGTAATTTTAACCTTTTGAGCTAGTATCCTGAAAGCACGGAATTGTTACTACTTGTCAGCTATTAAGGCTTGCTCTGAAGACCATCATGTTCCAGTTCTGTATTAAAAGGGGGATATCTCTTTAGAAAGAGCACTAATTCAGGGCCAGAAGCAAAGTTTTTGGATGTCCCTGAGTGAAAATGAAGGCTATTGATCACTTTCTAGTTTTAATTCTTGGGGTTTTGCTGCCATCTGCTGATCCACAGCTACAAGATGCGAAAAAAGCAGGCTTTCTTCACTTAGCCACATCACAAACAAGCCTTAGTAACCCCTTTTGTTCCTGTCATGTCCTTATGAGGCTGCCTTCCTCTTGTCCCCAACTCATCCCTGAGGCATCTTAAAGTCAGCCTTAGCCATTTAGGTGTGGAGGTCATGATTTCCCTTTAAGCAGAAAAGCCAGGACTGTGGGCATAACCCTAAACACTTGACTGTCTAACCAGTTGATATCACAGTCAGGTGACCCAGACGATGGTACCCTATTGGCTAATTTAGGCTGCAGCCTGGAACCTATTGGCTAATTTGGGCTCCACCTTCTTTTGCAGGGCCATTCTGCTTTGGACCCTGGAAAAATGATGTTCCTTCAAACTCAGTTCCTTCTGTGCCTACCACACTTCTGAACAAGGGCAGTTGTGGTGGGGATATCTGGTAAAGTGTGTATGGGTGAACTCTTGTGGCTGTTTCTGGAACAAGCCTCCATCTGTGGCATGTTTGCTATTGATGAATCCTTTGGGAGAGTTCACAGCCTGAAGCAATGGCCAACAGGAAGGAGGGATGGTTGTGGCGGAAAATGGGAAGAGCTGAAGGTGGGTGGGTGAGTGAATGAGCAACCCCAATGATTAGCCAATCTGGTTCCAATGATCTCAGCAGCTACCTGAGCTGGTTAATATTATTTTAGCTTTTTAAAAATAAGTTTTTAATATCCTGGAAAAACAGCAAATGGTTGATAGGTGTATAAAATTCTCTTTACCACACAATTCCTCCTTGTACTCAATAGTGGTACTGGTTCCCCTTTTTCCTGTCACCCACCCCCCCAGTGGGTAGGAAAAGGGGGGCAACCTTTACTACTCCATAGCAATAAGGATTGCTCAATGGAGCAGGGACCCTCTTGTTCATCCAGTGGCCCCTGCCACCTCATGGATCCCATGTTGGAGGAAAGCTGATCAGTGAATCTGGAGAGCTGCTTCATATACATCACAGGATCCCATGAACCAGACCTTCTCCAGAGAAGGGGAATGGAAGTAGAATCTTTTGCTGGCTCTTTCTATGACATCATACGCTCAAGGTGGTTTTAAGATTCCACAGAAAAAAGCTCCATTTCAAGAAATGCCTCTTGTTCTGGAAGTCACTTCAGGTAACTGGCAATATTTGCTCCTACTTTTAGGGCAGCTTTTCCCAACCTGAAGCCCTCTAAATGTTTTGGAAGTGAACTCCCATCATTTTCAGCCTTCAAATCATGCAGACTGGGTTAGATTATTATTTTAGTTTCTGGTATTTTTGTTGCTTTGAAGCTTCAACTTGAACATTTCCCCTGATCTAAACAGGTTGTAAAATCTGGACATTATTAAATTGGTGGCTATCTCAGGCAGTTATTATAGGCAATTCTAGAAAATTAGGGAGACCCAGTAGTTATAGTTCACATCCCGTGTAGTTCTATAGTTACCTGTACTATGATTTCTTCAATTAAATCTATTACAGATAATCCTCGATTTACAACAGTTCATTTAGTGTCTGTTCAAAGTTACAATGTCACTGAAAAAAGTGATTTAGGACCTTTTTCCATGCTTATGACCATTGCAGCATCCCTATGGTCACATGTTCAAAATTCAGATGCTTGGCAACTGGTTCCAATTTATGATGGTTGCAGTGTCCTGGGATCATGTGATCCGCTTTTGCGACCTGACAAAGTCAACGGGGAATCCAGATTAACAGCCGTGTTACTAATTTAACAAGTGCAATGATTCACTTAACAACTGTGGCAAGAAAGGTCATAAGCTGGGAAAAACTCACTTAACAAATGTTTCACTTAGCAACATAAATTTTGGGCTCAATTGTGGTCATAACTCGAGGACTACCTGTATCTGGGTTACCACAATACATCAAACCATCAACTAACTGCAGACTAGGTTTGTATGACACAAGGGCTCTCTTAAAAAAATAACAATAATCAGGCCCAGCACATTATAGCCTATTGGTGGGTGAGAATTCAGCCAGGGAATCTGAGGAGATTTACAAGCAAAGGAGGATATTACAGACCAAGCAAAGGTTCCTATTAAGTCCTATGTTTCCTCAGTTTAGTATACTTCTTTCCTCTGGCCATGAACAGAGTGCCATTCTTTTGTCACCAAGCTACCCTTGTATGACAACACTGGATAGTGTGCAGTTTCTAGATAGGTTTGGGTATATTTGTATTTTTTCCACCTTGTGTTAATTTGGAACTAGCAAGGATAGGAAATAGATGTTTTACAACTCTTCCTTGACCCAACATATTCAATCTGGCTTTAATAAGCACAGATAATATAGGTGCAACTTCCCAGCAAGTTTAACAAAGACCAACTAGATGCTGCCCACCCGCCAGTAACCTGTATGCCTATGTAAATACGCTGGGGAAATTAAAACATTAAATGTAACTGGATTTCTGAAAGATTATGCCCAAAAGAGAAAAGCAAATGAATGTGTTACCCTCTCCTCATCACATTAAATACACATGTAGCCAATAAGGAATAATTCTGTCATTGAAAAAGAAAAGTCAGATAAATGGCTACACATGTGAGAGAACTTCATAAATGCTCTCCTCATTCTGCATGAGGTGTACAGTATTGCATTGTATGATGGGTGTCTGTCAAATATCAATTCAAGCCACCTTTTAACATGCAAGCTAGAATTGGCAGTCTGTGTAGAGTCAGAGGCACTCTTCTCTCTTGCTTTAAACATGTTGAGCCTCTGGGTGCTTTGAGAGTTAAGGCCGGAGTGTCAGGCCAAGGCCTCTCTCTACTTTCTCTCCACTGAGGGAAAGATCAGGCAGTAAAATTGAAGGCTTTCCCCCCCCCCACCCATTTTCAACCTTCCCCCTTTTCAGAGTCTTCTGAATGTGTCCTTTGCTGGGCCTAGCTCTTTCCTTGCTAGCCCTGCCCTGCGCCTTATGCGATGACACGGTGGCCGACGACATCGGGACCCACATGATGGCTCGCATCTCGGAGCTCCTGTCCCCGGAGGAATGCCAGGCCTTCCACCTCAAACTCCTGGGCCCCGAGGAGAACGTGAAAGACGAGCTGGAGCGCCTCTCCGAGAAGAACAACCCCATCGGCCGTCGAAGACGACGACGACGAAGGCGGCGGCGCCGGGACATCATCACCACCGCTCAGTGCAAAGAAACCCTGCAGCAATGGCTGGAGACGGAGGGCGACACCATGTACTGGGATCGCTTGTCCCGGGCTCTCCAGCTGATCGGCCGCGCCGACGTCTCGCTAGAACTGGGCAAGAACCTCAACCAGGACAAGAACCTGGAGATCAAGAAGAACGTGGAGGAGTACCACGAGACGGTGAAGCACCTGACTTCCTCGCTGCTCCTGGACGAGGGTCCCGGAGGGAGCGCGCAAGGCCGGCAGCGGCGCCAGGGGCCGGATTCCGCTCCGCCGCCGCCGCTCGAGCAAGGGGAGTGGGACGGGCTGGAGCTGATCGTCGAGCGGAAAGCGTTGCCGCCTTACAACCGGAGCCTCTTTGAATGGGCCACGCCTCTGGCGACGGGCGTCCTCAGCGGCTTCCTGACCTCCTTCATCCTGGTGGCGCTGGCGTTCTACTCTTTCGTCTGGATCCTCAACGAAGGCAGCCCCAGCTCCGCGCCGTTTCCCGGCGACCGCTTGTCGGCCACGATCTTACGCCCGCCTCCCACCAGCCGCGGAGGCATCTACTACTCGTTTCAGCACCTCGAAAGCTACGACCCCGGGGAGGCCGAGGACGATCCAGACGAGGCCGAAGAAACCTTACGTTAAGCCGGGGCAAAAGCCGGCCTCTCTTCTGAAGAGTTGGAGAGACAATAAAGGCGGCTCGTTCATTTTGCATGGTTTGAATTTCTTTTCACGACGGCCCTAGAAGAATTCCGTCAGGTTGTGGGGAGCCGCGCCGTCGGCGCTCCTTTAGGCGCCAGGCGTGGGCCGTTCCTTCCTCCGCTGGAGGGATTTCCCACTTCTCCTTTCTCACTTCCTCATCGCTGCAGCATGGAGAGAGAGAGCAGTGGGGCGAAAAGTCTCCTTGGCTTTGATCCAGTGGTGAAATCCATTTTTTTTTACTACCGGTTCTGTGAGCATGGCTTGGTTGGCATGGTGTGGTTTGGTGGGCATGACAGGAGAAGAATGCTGCAAAATCCCCATTCCCTCCCCACTCCAGGGGAAGGATACTGCAAAATCCCCATTCCCTTCCCACTCCTGGAGGAAGGATATTGCAAAATCTCCATTCCCACTCCACTCGGGGGCCAGCCAGAGGTGGTATTTGCCAGTTCTTCAAACTAATCAAAATGTCCGCTACCGGTTCTCCAGAACTTGTCAGAACCTGCTGGATTTCACCCCTGCTTTGATCCTATCTTGCCTGTGCCAGTCGCTTACCAGTTTTCATTTTTAGTTTTGCCTCAAATGCAAAGCTGGGAAGGACACTAGTAAACCTAGAGGCTTTAGAGGGGGGGGGGTTAGGAAATGCAAGTATAATCCTTATTAGGTGCATCAGCTAACGTTCTGCTGCTGGTCACTTCATTAAGGCAAAAACTGTGCTCTCTCTCACTCTTCTATATCAGTGATTCTCAACCTTAGCAACTTTAAAATGTGTGGACTTCTACTCCCAGAATTCCCCAGCCAGCTGGGGATTTGAAATTGAAGTTCTGGGAACTGAAGTCCACACATCTTAAAAGTTGCTAAGGATGAAAAACAACCATTCTATGTATAGTAATTACCATAATTGGCTGATGGTCTGCCCCCACCCCACCACCAGGTTGTTGTGAAAAGCAACCACTACAAATATACAGTGAAGAGATTTCCCAGTACATTATAATCCTGCCTTTGGGCTAGTGTCTCAAGTATATTAGCCAAATATTCATGTAAGATCTCTGATGGTCTGTGAAAAAAGAAATTGTATCAAACAAGATTCCCCCACCCCCCACCCCCAGGAAGATACTCCATAAGTAGAATCAAAACCCCTGACATAACTGGATTCCATTGGTTCTCCATGCTGCCATATTGGTCAAGGAGCGCTCGATCGGTCCCTCTGACAGCTTGTTCTGCTACAATAATTGTGTTTCATATGCAATCCTCTTTGAAGTGCCCAAACTACCTGCTGAAACTTTCTAAGCATATGTCATTTTGGTAGGCTTTATCAACCCCAAACTAACCTTTAAATCCCTCTCTTGAATGTCTTCTACAACCCTGTGGCTTTTAACAAGCAGTTAAGGAGATTGCACTGCCCTCATTTTTGAGCCAGCAGATTTGAAATTTTAAAAACAGGTTGTGGGCATGCTCACAAAATGGTCAGTTGGCAATTACATACCAGAAGATACAGGGGAGAAATAACTCCGCCTTCTTCCTGCACCTCACACACTTTTAATCCCCTGGTTTTTTTTGTGGTATTTGGGCTGACTTCCCAAACAAACACTTAGAGGCTGCTAACTTCTAGTTTTATTTGCTAAGCACACTTGCTTTTTGGGTCAAAGTGGAATGAGTGGCACTGTTGGAAACTTATCAAAGGGTGCCACTTTGCTTTGCAGGCATACTTCCATCTCATTTAAAGTCTGTCAATTAAAATAATTTTTAAAATATTTAATCAGATGGAGCATGAACAACAAAGGCAAGGAAAACAATCCCAGAGAACAAAAAAGAAATGGGCATCAGTTTTTCTTGCCAAAGGCCTGGGTGAAGAGCCAGGTCTTTAGGGACCTTTGAAATACTAGTAGGTTAGGAGCAGAGAGCAGATGCTGCTCCAGAGAAGGCATGCTTCTGGGGTCTCTACAGATGGCAAGTTTTAATCCTGCATTGCTGTTTTCTGGGGCAGATGAAGCTTCAGGGTTGTCTTCCAGCCCGTATAGAGCGTGTTCCAGTAGTCAAATCCTAAGGTCATCAGAGCTTGAATGGCTATCTGAAGAGCACCTGTTTTAGGAAGAGGGGAATTAGTGTACCAGTTGAAGCTGGGCAAAAGCCTTTCTGGCCACGATTGCCACCTGCTCATCAGCCAATAGATGTGTGTCCAGGAACAGCCCCAAATTACACACCATCTTTGAATGGGGAAGTGCAACCTCATCTAAGGTCCAAGCTGGAATATCTTCAGACCTGGGCAGTCTAAGCACCCACAGCCACTCATTCTTGGTAGGATTGGGATGGGCTTCTCGCCATCCAAACCTGCACGGCCCCCAGGCACTGGGCCAGAATCTCAACAGCCTCACTTGACCAGCCCAGAGTCAAAATCAGTGGTGGGTTTCTACCGGTTCACCCCGGTTTGGGTGAACCGGTAGTGGAGGCGACATGAGGCTCCGCCCACCCACCTGGATGTCATAATGGATGCTCTGCGCATGTGCAGAAGTGCCACACGTGCTCCCAGTTCCGAACCGGTAGTGAAAGTAAGAGGAACTCACTATTGGTTGAAATATCTAATTGGGTTTTATCAAGATGATGATTATGCAGAATCTCAAACTGGAAGATTACCACTCTCCCGAGTCTAGGACTAGTGGTGAAATGCTACCGGTTCACTCCGGTTCGGGCGAGCCAGTAGTAAAAAAATGCTTTAAAAAAAGTAAAAAAAAAGTTGGCCATGCCCACCCAGTCAATGACCCACCAAGACATGCCCACCAAGCCACGCCCGCAGAACCGGTAGCAAGAAATTTTACATTTCACTACTGTCTAGGACAACTCTCTGCGGCCAACTCATTGCAGCCATCTGTTGACCCATTCTGCTCTCTCCCTGCCAATGAACACGGAATGGAACTGGCCCTGGAGAAAGGAAGGGGACCAGTGGTGGGTTGCCCCCGGTTCACACCGGTTCTATAGAACCGGTAGTAAAACCGGTGGGAGGCCCCACCCACCGACCCCAACGTCACCAAAATGCTTCTGTACATGCGCACGGCCCCACTGCGAACTGGTAGTAAAGGTAAGTAGAACCCACCCCTGAAGGAAACCATCATAAAACGGTGTCCTCAATCTCCAATTCATAGAACCAATTCTGGAGGATACCACGGTCAATGATATCAAAAGCTGTCGAGAGGTCAAGAAGCACAAGAATGGATGGACCATGACCATCAACAAGCACAAACAGAACTGTCTCAATACTAAATCCTGGCCCTAACCTTGACTGAAATGGTTCTAGATAATCTGTTTCCGCTAGGATTCTCATCAGCTGCAGACTGACCCCCCCTTCTCGCCAACCTTCACCCCAAAGTACGTAGCACATCTAAAATTGTTGGGTTCTTAATGTTCTCTGAACTTGGTTCTTTTGCTGCAGACATTTCATTACCAGACAAGGTAACATCATCAGCATATGGGAGAATGAACTTTTTGCTGGGTCAACTGTTCAATTCTGGAATTAAATTCTTCTAACTATTGGAACATCCAAAATCTCTCTCAGACTAAAATGCCTCTCCATTTTTTAATAGCCACTTTGGATATCCACTCACGTTGAGGGCAGTTCAGAAATCTATAGATTAAAATATATAAATAATCAGTAATTTAAATCACAGGGCATCCATACCCATGGAGGTATGTTGATGAATTATAGTAGATTACACAAGGAGGAACAGGCTGAATATTATTTGTTTTTAAGCTGGCATCCTATTTCACGACTTTCCATTACTTGAACATGATTGTTTTGTTTTCAAAGCAAACAGGGAAACTTGTACGCCTGGGCTTGTAAAAAATAAATACAATTGTTGATTCTTCTCTCTTTCAGCTCATAATTCAGTTTGCAAAGTACGCAGTTTAAAGCCACCACTGACTGCTTAAATAGAGTGGTTGCAATTTATTCCAGAGGTTTTAATTTTTTTTCCCCCAGGCTGCTGAACTTATTAGGTTTTTTTTTAAAAAAACTCACAGACTCTGATCAAGAGCTTTAGAGATAGAAAATTGGCTGCGTTCAAGTGAACATTTTTTTCCCTGTAATCGCTCATAGAACTCTAGGGTTCTGCAAACAGTTCAAAAAAAATCCCTGCTTTAGTCATTCCTATTGTGTAAGTGCTATGGCTGGGATCTTAATTGGCCAAACACAGATTTCAAACTTTTTCCTGTTGTGTAACCTCTCAGGAGTGAATCTGCCCCAACAAAAAAGAAAAAAGAAAGAGGTAAAAATGTTTGCCTGTGATGTGTGCAGCTATATCCCAAGAGATCTACCGTCTTAACATTCCAGGAAAAAAACAGGGTAGAAAGTTGGGGGGGGGGGAATGACACCACAAGTTGTGAGCATTTTTTGCACTCTATTGCTACTCCATTTTTACATGATTACTTTCGACCACCTAACCAGATGCTGTGGCCTCAAACGTAGATGAAAGATGGGATTGGAAGCCATAATAAAGTGAAGTTCTTGAAACTTTTTGTTTTCTAACACTCTCTTTCAGAAATGGGGGGCTTAGACTCTTAATTTCTAATGGATCTAGAACTTTTAGGGTGCTTCCTTATTAGCTAAGCTGGTCAGGGCTACCAGAAATTCTAATTCATTAACTATTAAAGTAGTCCTCGACTTAACAACAGTTCATTTAATTACCATTTGAAGTTACAATAGCACTGAAAAAAGTGACTTATGACCATTTTTCACACTTATGACCATTGCGGCATCCCCCCTAGTCACAAGATCAAAATCCAGGTGCTTGGCAACTGACTCAGATTTATGACGGTTTCAGTGTCCTGGGGTCATGTGTCCAACCTTCTGACAAGCAAAATCAATGGGGAAGCCAGATTCACTTAACAACCATGTTACTAACTTAACAACTGCAATGATTCACTTAACTGTGGCAAGAAAGGTTGCAAAATGAAGCAAAACTCATTTAACAAACATCTCACTTAGCAATGGAAATTTTAGGCTCAATGGTGGTCATAAGT